AGATTCTGGACAATCACACTAAATTTATTTAATGAGGGGTCACTAATCTCTGTCTGAAAAGAAAAAAAAAAAACTATTTGTATCTTAATTGCTTTGCCACAACCTAGTGGAAAGATACGTACCAAAATATCTCTTTCTAAATTATAGTAAAAATAAATTACCTTAAAAGGAACAAAAAAATAGATGTATACAAACCATTTTTCATACATACAACATATGTTTGCAAATATAAACATATATAAATATACACCTATATATACATATATATATATATATACACACATACATATATAGCCATTCCTCCATACTTATGGGTTCTGTGTGCATGGATTCAAATAACTATGGGTCAAAAACTTTTTTAAAAAAAATTTCATATGAACAAAACATGTACAGACTTTTTTCTTGTCATTATTCCTAAATAATAGAATAATAGCAGCTATTTATTAATTTATATTGTGTTAGGTATCATAAGTAATCTAGATATAATCTTTAAAAAGTACAAGGATTTGTGTACATTTTATGCAAATGCTATGTCATTTTATATAAGCAAGTTGAGCACCTGAGAATTTTGGTATCTGCAGAGGATTCTGAAACCAGTTCCAGTGGATACTAAATTATATACATAAATGTTGAGATATATATATATATATATATATATATATATATATATATATATACACATATATTTTATATATGTGTAACAGTAAATTAATAAATTCCTCTGTCACATTGCTTAAAGTTGCAGACCATTTGTTCTCAATTTCTGTTCCCATCTCCTGTAGATAGCAGGGTCTGTGACCCCCACTTTGAGCAGCATTAGTGGAGAGTAATGCTTAAAAGTTTGGACAAAAGCGGAAAGGTGAGGGGTGATGGGGTTAGTAACAGCCTTGCCTGAGGACACATCTAACCTCCCTGAGGTACGCTGATCCCTATGGGGATTCAAGGTGCTTCTGGATCCTGTTCCAGCTTTAGCTGAAGATGTAATTTAGGGACAGGCTTTCAACAGGGCTGGCTGGCCTATGGAGACCTCTCAAGCTCCCTGAGTGCTTCCCAGCCCTCATAGGTAGAAATGACCAAGAGATGACCCAGAGACTGCTCAGGGCCTGAAGAATCCATGCAAACCAGAGATCAGCTAAGATACCAGGCAGAAATACTCTCTGGAATACCTTAGCCAAACAGAGAGAAAATATAATTAACTGAGTCTTATTTTAAAATGAAATGTGTGAAAGTGGAGCAAAGGCATTCCTGCATAGGAAGAGTCAAGAATCTGAAAGGCCTTGATAGCCGTTCTTCCCTAAAAATTTACCTGTTAAGGGCTGGGGTTGTAGTTCAGAGGTAGAGCACTTGCCTCAAATGCATGAGGTTTGATCCTCAGCACCATATAAAAGACATTGTGACAATCTACAACTAAAAAAAAAAAAATTAAATTGACCTGTTAAGATTCAAAGACAAGGGAAGCAACAGGAAGGCTGAGATCAGAAATCCAAGGGGATGCTGGCTGAAACAGAAGGCAAGCAGCCTGTTTTGGCGTAAGGGTATTACCTGTCCCTCTGAAAGTCTGAAAGGGTCATCTGGGAAATAATCAGTGAACTAACAGTAATCTCTCTTACAATGTATTCAGGCTTCACTATATATTCAGGCTTCAAGGTCTGTTGGGCTCTTTATTTGAGTCTAACTCAGTCAAAAAAAAAAAAAAAAAAAAATAGGTCCAATCACTAGCATGCGGCAAATGAGGAGGTCAAAGGCCCAAGCAGGATTTCAAAATGTGACTAGCCTAGCCAGCAATGATCTCTAAGAATCCTTCACCATGTGAAGGAGTGCAGTGGGGGAGCTTACCAGTGAGAGTCAAAGTAAAGATTGGATTCTCATTTCCTTCATGACAATTAATTTAGCAAAATTCTTGACATTGCTGTGAACATTCCAATGACAGTTACTAACTTTCAGTGACTGCACAAGTGACATCTAACTCCTGGCAACTCCATGATTTCCAGAAAGGCACCAGTGGACCTCCTTCTACAAACCTGTTTCTGATACAGGTTAAACAGGTGGTTTTCTCAGTATCACTTTTAGGTCATTATGTAAAATGAAATGGTAAGCCAAGCCAATATCTCTTAAGAAACCCTAAACATAACACTCTAGCACTAATTAGTGCTGGCAGCAACTTGCCATGCTGGTCGACTAAATATAAGTTCAGGGAGAGTAGTGGGGTCTGTGCTCAACAAGGAGCCAAAACTGTTTGGCACATTGAGCAACTTTAGATAGGAAAAGGAAAATTCCTTTTTAAGTTACAATGAAACTCTTCTGCAAACAATTTAGCATTACTCAGACCTAGTCTTAGGAAACAGAAAATCCTGCCAGGTTATAATCAAGATTAGAAGAGTTATTCTAAGCCTGAGTTTGAACATTCATTGAAAAAAAAAAAGAAGAATACTAGACAGTTATTAAGAATTTTGGTGTTTGGTAGATCCTAGAAAACATTCCCATAATGAAAGCTCAAAGAAATTAAGTGATTATTTATCCAGTGTGGTTGGGAAGAGTAGAAATGGAGATAAAAGCAATTAAAAACTTCGGTTTTATGTCCTTTAGGGTCAGTAACACTGTGCACAATGTCCACACCCACTATCCACCAAAATTAAAAATCCTGCACAGAGAGATCTTTATTTTCTTATCTAACACAAACCTGAGATGTTATTTTAAAATGAAATGTCTGAAAGTGGAGCAAAGGCATTCCTGCATAGGAGGATTCTCCTCTTTCCCCAAATAAAAGAATATAAAATTCCAGACTATTTTGTGCTTCCCTCAGATTCTAGTAACAGGTAAATGAGAATCTTTGTGATGAGCTGGGCCAGGTGGGAAGTGAATGAAGATTTTGGGACCCATCCTGCTGCCCCTGGGCACTAAAAAAGTCAATCTAAGCTCGTTTGACCCTATAAGCCTGTGATGGGGATGCGGACAGATGGTGTACTAGCGATGTTCTTTAAACTCTGGTTCTGAACTGATCATGAATAGGGGGAGAGAGAAAGGAGACTATGGTTATCAGATTTTACACCATTAGCCAAGTGGGTCTTCACAAGCTATGCATGCGTGCCCTGTGCATCTAGAAAACACTGTGAGCCTTTCCCCACAGGGGAGAAGGCTGTACAAGATGACATGGTTAGGGGATGTATTCCAACTGGAATAGCAGAATACCTTGAACAGTGTAATTTTGTAAGCAGCACACATTTATTCCTTTTAGGTCCAGAGGCTGAAAAGTCCAAGATCAAGTTGCCAACAGATTCAGTGTCTAGAGAGTCTCATTCTCTGCTTCAAAGTTGCTGTGTCCTTACATGCTGGAAAGGCAAAGGAGACTAACTCCCATGGACAACTTTTATAAGGGCACTTATAAAATCCCATTCCAGAGGGTCCCATCATGACTTTCTAAGCCCCCCCCCCTTAAATGCCAGACCTTGGAATTAAAGTTGATTTTAACATATGAATTTGGTAGTGCAAATACATGCAGGCCAGAGCAGGAGCAATAATCTTCCATTATCAAATAAGCTGAAATGCCCTAAAATAAGACTCATAGAGCATGATTGGGAAATGTAACTGCCATATTCAGGAGCAGGCAGATATCAGGGAGGCTTCTGCCTATAATAGTGGGATAAAATTGATCACTTTACCCTCATGCAAAAATCTGTTGGTGACCAAGTGATTAATATGTGTTTGGTCAGATTTTTTTTTCTTGCTGTGACCAAAAGACCCGATAAGAACAATTTTAAAAGAGGAAAAGTTTGTTTGGTGCTCATGGTTTCAGAGGCCTTAGTCTTTAGATGACTGATTCTGTTGCTCTGGGTTTGAGGTAAGACAAAAACTTTAAAATCATTTAAAGCATTGTATATGCTACTCAGATATTGTTGGAGGGAGGGTGTCACTTCATACATGACAGAATAGAAAGCACTCAGGACATGGAAGCAGAGAGAGAGCTCTGTTCACTAGGGGTAAAATATAAACTCCAAAGGCACAACCCAGTGACCTGTCTCCTCCTGCTACAATCTACCTGCCTTCAGTTACCACCCATTTAATTCCTATCATGGATTAATGCACTGTTTGGATTAAAGCTCTTACAACTCGATCATCTCACCTGTAAACTTTTTTATATTGTCTTACAAATGAGTTTTGGGGGACATTTTATATCTAAACCATCACAATATGATACTGAATGTCATTGATAGATAGTTTGTAGATTAATAATAATAATCTATCATTGAAGTAACTATTCTTACTTTATTTATTAAGGTTTCCCATATTCATTCAAAGTTCTGCCTCTTTCTGGCTTTGTTTGTTTGTTTGTTTTTTAAGGAACACAGGCTATGAAATGAGCTACCAATTTTCTAATATCAGATTAGCATTAATTGGCTATGCAACCTTGGAAAAGTTACCTAAGTCCTTGGTTCCTTAATTTCTTTTTCTTTTAAATGGGAATAAAAATCAAACCCATATGCTTAGAACAGAGTCTGACAGAGAATAAGCACTTATAGATGGTAATCAATGTTAGCTGAGCAGCTGATTATTAGAGTGGTCCATGAAAATAATAAGCCAAAATGAAAAGAACAGTCAAGCCTTAATCATTTACTACAACAGTATCAGTTAAATGCCAAACAGGAGAAAGAGTTGGTTTCTGCAATCCTGCATTTTTTTCTCTAGGGATGGTGCTGGATGTTGGATCAGAGCAGAGCCCAAAACAAAATGCTCCTCCTGTTCCAAAGCTTTTGGGGCCACGGTGAGAGATAGGAATGGCAAGAAACCAGGGAGCACCAAAATCTGAGTGAGGGTAGAGAAAAATGTATTCAAGACCCAATCCACCTCCCATAAGGCTCTCTTCATAGGGGCTTTGGCATGAGAAAGACCTCTGGATGCAAGAACCCGGGTTAGTGATACAAATACACGTAAGAGCAAGTCCAGCTGGAGGTAGGGAAGCCCAATTCCAGTTAGAGACTGCAGTGCATTGGATGGGTGCCATGTCTAGATGGGAAGGCGACTTTCCCTCCCAATGCCTGCCAGGTAAAGTTTTCATTAATTATCTGTGATTGGGCCTGGGAGATTACATAAGAGATTGGGGCCTCATATTCTGGTCGACCCTACATTCACACACATGTATATAGCAAACTTACATAAAATCATTTAAAGCATTGTATATGCTACTCAGATATTGTTGGAGGGAGAGTGTCACTTCATACAACCAACAGTAGGAAAATAAAGAATTCTTACAAATACTTTCATCTTTCAAGTTTTTTCTTTCTTTTTTTTTCTCTGAAAACTCTTTTTTTTACTTGTGATAAAATATACATAATATAAAATATGTCATCTTAACCATTTTTCAGTGTTTAGTTCAGTAGTTTATGTATATTCACTCATCTGCATGAACATGAGCTCTTTTCATGGTGCAAAAGCAAAACTCCATACCCTTAAACAACAACTCCCTACTCCCTGCTCCCCTTTCCAGCAATTCATTTAAAAGTACTTCCCAGTCTTGCTGGATCCTCCACTTTAGTTTCTTTTCACATCTATTATGTGAAAAGAAATAATCTCTTTGGTAAACCTAACAAGTTTAAGTTAACCCTGTTTTAGTTACCTTTTTTTTTTTTTTTTTTTTTTTTTTTGCTGTTGTGACTAAAAGACAAAACAAGAATAATTTTTTGGAGGAAAACTTTATTTGGGAGCTCATAGTTTCAGAGGTCTCTGTTCATAGTTGGTGAGCTCCATTCCTCAGGTCTAGAGATGAGATGTTTTTTCTCCATCATTCCTATGGCCAAACCCATCATGTCAAAATCTTTCTAGTCTTCTGAAAAGCAAACTCTCACAACCACCACCCCAAGAAGTAATGGTACCAAACTTTCGTAGAAGGTACTTTAGCAGCTATCCTTAATGCTGAGTGTTCTCTTTGGAGACTTGCTGCTCATTTTAAGTGGCTTTCAATTTTTTTCCAAAGGCAGTTAATGCTTGGCCCACAAAACTCTTATGAACCAAGTTCTTTCATATGGTTATGAAAAGAAGTTACAGGGACAAGGCATTCAGGGAGAATAAAAGACTACATCTCACATCTACATTTCTGGAAAAGTCCTCAGCACCTCTGACCTATATGCACTTAGTAGATCATATTTTCAAATTACATATATATGAACATATATATATATATATGTATTAAATTTTATATTTTTATTCTCTAGGTGATGTGTTGACGTTCCTAGATTCTCATGTGGAATGTAATGTTGGTTGGTTGGAACCTCTCCTGGAAAGGGTTTATTTAAGTAGAAAGAAAGTGGCCTGTCCAGTAATTGAAGTCATCAATGACAAGGATATGAGGTAATTTTGCCATACATATGTCCAAGTGCATCTTTGCCACACAGCAGAAAGTTCTGCTCCTAAATATGCATTTTTGAAAATCTAAGAAACACACAGTTTATCTATTCAAATAAATGAGAATATATGATAGTATCTTAGGATCAGAACCAGTCAGTCCAATAATCTCTTTGGTAAACCTAACAAGTTTAAGTTAACCCTGTTTTAGTTACCTTTTTTTTTTTTTTGCTGCTGTGACTAAAAGACAAAACAAGAATAATTTTTCGGAGGAAAACTTTATTTGGGAGCTCATAGTTTCAGAGGTCTCTGTTCATAGTTGGTGAGCTCCATTCCTCAGGTCTAGAGATGAGACAGAACTCCAAGGCAGAAGAGTGTGGCAGAGAGAAGCAGCTCTGGATATGACAATCAGGGGGCGGGGAGAGAGCGCAGAAGAGACACAGAGAGAGAGAGAGTCTGCACTTAACAGATACAAAATATATATCCCAAAGGCATACCCCCAATGACCCAACTCCTCCAGTCACACCCTACCCACCTTCAGTTACCACTCAGGTAATCCCTATCAAGGAATTAATGCACCGATTGGGTTAAGTCTCTCATAACCAAACATTTCACCTCTAAACCTTCTTGCATTGTCTCACACATGAGTCATTTTGGGGGACACCTCATATCTAAACCTTATATCATAACACCCTAAATACCAATAAATCCTACTACTCATTATTTAATAGATTCCCCTTTAAATCCAGCTGAACTCCAAAATATTTTCCTCAAGTTTAATCCTTCCTTTTCCAGAAAATATATATGTGTATATAAGTTATTGTTTCTTCCTCCAAAATGGCTAGGGGATTATTAAAAGTAAAATAAAATTTAAATGCAAGCAATCTGGTTAGTTTATCATCAGTACAAATTATAAATTTTCTTGAATTGCTACTAAAAGATAAAGATCTAAAATGACCTGTAAAAGCACCTGTTACATACCTGAATAAGTCTTGGAGCCAAGTTGATGAATTATATAGGCTGCATCTAATCTCAGGTCACACATTTTTGGTTTTGTTTTTGTTTTCCTGGATTAGTTATATGACAGTGGACAACTTTCAAAGAGGTATCTTTGTATGGCCCATGAACTTTGGTTGGAAAACAATTCCTCCAGATGTCATTGCAAAAAACAAAATCAAAGAAACTGATATAATAAGGTAAGTGTGTGAAATTTAAGACAAAGAAGCAGACATATGTCTTTTTGTAAAGGTATGTAAAAAAATTTTACAAAATAACTGTAATCTATTTTTCTATAAAACTCAAGAACTTCGGGTCTTTACAATACATTACCAAAGCACACAGATTTTCCTGAGAAATTAGTTTCCGAGTATTAATACTCCTTTTTACATGTTTAATCGTACCCTATCCAGCCATAAGCCTAGAGAAGTCCATTTGATACTATTCCTGTTTCCTTGGATTACGATGTGAGAAACACAAACTCATGGAATATGCTACATAACACACATAATATTAAAGTAAGTGTGAGTAAAAATTTAAAAAAAAAATAATAGTCATAGAGATATCACTGTAGTAGCTATAGTAAGATTTCTTTCATAGTGTAATCCTACTTCCTCCATGAAACAGTCACCAAATTCTGTTAATAAATTAAGAAATAGACACAGAAGCTCAATATGAATTGAAATTTGGACTTTATTACTAAGAAGCTGGATTGAAAACAGAGCTTAGACCTGAAGCCAAATGAAGGCTTCCTGTGTCTTCTCCCACTTTCAGCTTGCTCAGTGGAAACCACCATGGGATGTGGTAACTGCCTTGTCTACCTGCTGACTAAAATATCACTTCTGTCCCCCAAGGCTCTGGAGTCTGACTGAGGGCTCTGGAGTCTGACTGTTTGGGTTTGAATTTCATCTCTACCACTTACAGTAGTATGAGCTTTTTATAGCTCACTTAACCACTTTGAATCTGTTTCCTTGTTTCTATGTGAAGATTAATAGAAGTGCCTACTGCTTATATCATTTTGAAAATTAATCTGATTATATACATATGTGTGTATATATAAACTGCATTAAGCAGTGATTGCCACAGAACAAGCTGTCAATCAGCCTCACACGTGGTTGAGAGGCAGTACCGTACAGTCACAGAGCACAGCAGCCAGCCATATTGCCTTAGTGTGCACCTGAGATGTACATCATACTTGTCTGTCATCCTTGGAAAAGTTTCTTACCTTCTCTGCATTGTGGTTTCTTAATAATGGTACAAACTTGCAGGATTTGGGGGAATTTTAAGTTAATACACAGATAATACAATAGTGCCTGGTACTAGTTAACCCTAAGTAAATATTAAAAATTATATCCCTGGAGAGTTTATGTCACAGTTTAAATAACAAAGAATAATCCTACTTCCAGGCCACATCTTTGCTGAACTAATCAAGCCTTGCACCATGAACCAGAGAACTCATCTCCCAAGCACTATTTGTGACTCCATCCTGAGACCGCCCTATACTTTGTGACTACTCAGAAACATCTCTAACTCTAATGCAAACATACAAAGGACCAACTCTGAAAAGCAATATTTTCATTTTTATAGGTGCCCTGTCATGGCAGGTGGATTATTTTCTATTGATAAAAATTACTTTTTTGAACTTGGAACCTATGACCCTGGACTTGATGTTTGGGGTGGAGAAAATATGGAGCTCTCATTTAAGGTATTATCAAATTTATTTATTAAAGTTTATTATCAAATTTGTTAATTAAATTTTCTTTACAATTAAGAGCTTATCATTTTACATGTTTTCATTTTATTAATATGATCAAATATGTAACACACTAGGAGGAAATTTCACAGGAATTTTAGGGTCATTGGATTAATTTTCTCATATCTCAGATTGAATTTGGAAAAAATCAATCACTGTTGCAAAATTAACACCCAAGAAAGCCTTAGCAACAGCAATTATAAAGTGTCGAAAAGGCAGCTGCTTTTCTGTTGGGTTGGTGATTTATTATAAAAGGGGTGGGACTTTGGAGCTCCTGATCAAGAATAGTGTTTAATTGTGACCCAGGATCTCCATAGGATAAGAGAAGGAGAGTATGTTAAAGCTAGAGATGAAAAAGGAAGAGAAAGGTGGGAGTGATGGCAAAAAGCAAAGGGAGATCAATAGAATAGGAGAAAGGGACTAGAGGGTGGGTGGAGGGGTGGGGAATGCTAGGGAGGGATGTTGACCAAATTCTATTATTATATTGGGTGCACATACTAATAGGTAACAACAATCACACCATTATGTACAACTATAATGCACCAATAAAAAATGTAGAGAAAAGATAAAAATTTAAAAAAGAAAAAACAAGGGGAAGGTGAATAAATGGACATCCATTTACATCTCCATGATTCAACCAAAACAGGAACTCACATTTTATACATTTGATATTTATAGTCACATTGTTCATGTTTTATACATTGGCATTCTGTGAAGCATTTTTTTTTTTTTTTTAGGAAAAGAAGTTTACATTGCAAGTTAAGAAAAAAATTTTATCTTAGTAATCATCAAATGGTCCACATCGCAATATATAAAACTAAATAAACCCTGCTTAGTTTCAGAAAACACCAGAGTGTTTTCTTGACTTCAAGCTGGTAGAAACAAAACCTCCAGGTGGCTCCTTGTCATTAATTGCCCATGATTTTAAACAATCTTTTCATAATTGAAGCCTATCTTTAAATTATTCCAGGTATGGATGTGTGGTGGAGAAATTGAGATCATTCCTTGCTCCCGAGTGGGCCACATATTCAGAAATGACAATCCATATTCCTTCCCCAAAGACCGCATGAAGACCGTGGAGCGGAACTTGGTACGGGTGGCTGAGGTCTGGCTTGATGAGTACAAGGAGTTGTTCTATGGCCACGGGGATCACCTTATAGACCAAGAGCTTGAGGTGGGCAACCTCACCCAGCAGAGGGAGCTTCGAAAGAAACTGAAATGTAAAAGTTTCAAATGGTACTTGGAGAATGTCTTTCCAGATTTGAAGGCTCCCATTGTGAGAGCTAGTGGTGTGGTAAGTTCACATGACGATTTAAATTCTTAACTGTGCAAAAGTGGTACAAAAATGCTTCAAAAATGCGTGGGAAAGAATGATTTATCGTGTTACACCATAAATAAACACACACTATGAATTGCCATAAGACAAGGCATAGCCGAGAATTAAACGTGGCTAAACTTGAGGAAGGAAGCCATATGCATTAATTGATTCAACAGATTCCTGTTGTGTGTCAGGAGACAAGGCTGCATTTTAGAACTGGATGATAAACAAAGTAGACTCCATTCCTTCCTTTAAAACTTAAAGTTGAGCCGGGCGTGGTGGCACACACCTCTAATCCCAGTGGCTCTGGAAGCTGAGGCAGGAGGATCTCGAGTTCAAAGCCAGCCTCAGCAAAAGAGAGGTGCTAAGCAACTCAGTGAGACCCTGTCTCTAAATAAAATACAAAACAGGGCTGGTGATGAGAATCAGTGGGTGAGTGCCCTGAATTCTATTTCCAGTACTCCCCACCTCAAATAAAACCCTTTAAGTTGAAATGTTGAATAGGAAAAAAAGATAATAAACAGTAAGTTCAAAACAAAACATAACTCTCATTTAGGGTATAGGTGATGAATTCTAAGTTACTGTGGCCAAGAAATCCTTTCTGAGGAAAAGACTTTGAAACCAAGGCCTGAAACACAAAGCATCAACCAAGATCTAAAAAAGAGGGCTAGGAAGAGGGTGCTGCTCATGCAGAACTCTAAGGCAGGTGAAAACTGAGGGCACTTGAGAACTGGGAAAAAGACTGTTGTTGTCAGGGTGTGAAGGAGGGAATGGTACCAGAGGAAGGTGCAGAGAGATTAGATCACACAGGTCCTTGCAGGGAGAGTTAGGATTTCCTTTCCTTCCCTCCCTATCTTCCTCTCTATCCCTATTTCTCTATTTCTATCTCTCCAAAAATATAACAGGAATTTGTTGAGCAGAGTTAAACAAAGAGATAAAATTTAATTGGGATTTTTTTAAGTTTCAAAAAGGGATTTAAAATAACAGAACTATCAGAAAATAACAAAATTTCAGGACATAAGGAGAGGTACAAAAAGGAAAGAAAATCATATAGGTTGAACAGAGTGCAAAACTAAGAGGGTCAAGTAGGGGGAGAGCCTGGGAGGAAGCCATTCCAAACCTGTTCTGGGAATGGTAGGACATAGGGCCATCTAACATAGAATGGGCATAAGGATGGTTGGTCAAGCTGCCACCTAGATAGAGCTCTTCCTGTGTCAGGTTTATTTGTAATCACTTTTGTTTTATTTCTTATTTACTTATAAATATTTCCAGCATTTTTTAGTGTTCTTTCAGAGTGTCTTTTTTTTCCATCCAAGAAGTTCTCAAACTAAATCATGAGTAAGCCTACTCTTTCAGGCCATTTTTTTCATTTCTTGCCAGAAAGTAGATCATTACAAACCAACCACTCTCCCCACCTGGCAAATCTGATAACAAGAACTTAAGACATTCCATTAACCATATTAGGAAACTTCGGGAAGAATGTTAAAGACAGAAACTAGCTTGCAAATTCATTCTGATTTATAAATTCAACTAATAAATAAATATATATGACCGGTTTATATATAACATATTGTACTCTAAAGTCTCCCTTTTTTAGATCAGAATAGCAGCTACCTCAGGTGTCTCAACCTGATATTATACCCTAGGTAACTAAAAAATATAACATGTCAAACATATCCATACAATAAAATTTATATTTTTAAATTTAATACCTAAAACAGGGGGAAAAAATTAGAATTCTCACCATAGAGAATTTTTCTTTTCCTAACAGAATCTCTGCAATATCATTACTCAACTTTAGCCACCAGAGGGGGCTATAAAACTACCTTTTGGCTCAGCTGTGACACTAACTTAAGCATTCCTACCAAATTTTTGAAAATCTCCCGTAAAGAAATTGCCTCTGCTGATGAATGTACTCCATAAAAATGCTGCAGTATTCTAAAAAATATTTTAACAGAGCTCTTCCTGCTATTTCCTTATTTGTTTGTTGTTTTTCTTAGATAAATTTTAGTAAAGACAATATTTGCTACCTTCTGAAGAAACCAGGAGGGAGTACTATCATTATCCACAAAAAAATTAGGACCTTTTTTTCCGGGAAATTCAAAATAAGATCAACTTGACCTTTATTTGGGATAAACAATCTTAACAACTTAAATTAAAAAAAAGTCAACTCCACCACATGTTTTTGTTACTTACTCCATGTTTTCCTGTCTTTTAACCTACACACTTGGGAATTTAAATCCAGTGAAATTTCTTTTGGATTTAAAAAAAATAAAAACAAATAATTTCTTTTTGAACTAAAAATATCTGAGACTAATACAAGAACCTCACCAGCATTATGTTTTTCCACAGGATTACATTGTGGCAAACTGCCTATAGCCTAAAGTTTAACAATTCTGTAATAAACTGGGGATTTCCCACCTCCTGAACTAGAAAATAAAATTATTCTACACGGAAAGTTTAAAATCTATGCACGACCTGATTTTGGATAAACTGCTTTAAAATTTAAAAAAAACATTAAAACCTTTCATAATGAAGTGAAGAATAACCATTCCTTAGCACTTCATAGGTCATTTCTTTAAGAAGAAAAATTGTTTCCCCAGGAATTTCTGATTAGAAGGGAAAGAAAGAGAAATTCAGATAAAGAAAAGAAGCAAGACATAAGGCACAGAGCAGATTTCCCTTTCCCTCCATTGCCTTTCTGTGCCGGAAGGAAGGAATTGTATGAAATAAACACAAAGGACTCAGTTAAGCCAGGGGTTCTCAAACAGCATTTCCAGAAGTGACAGCTGTGCTGGAACAGGCTCCCCAGTCCAGTAAATCTGAGGAGCACTCATTACATTCGGAGCAGCAAGCTGAGCACCAACACCTAGAAGGTTCTGAGAAGTTCTGGAGAAGGTTCAGCTGTGCTGGAACCAGATTCCCAAAACTGTTGGAATTTGGAATATTTGCTTCCTGATCCACAAATATAGGCTCTTACATCTCTGCCCAGATCCTGGGCATGATTGGCCCTCTTTAAACTCCAGGATTATTCTTCGTTCACATACTTCTACTGACCATCCTCCAGAAGTTAGTTGGATCTTTCTGTGTGCTATGGCTGCTCTCATTTGCTAATGGTGGATTTTCTATTCCCATTCTGGTCATTGTAAATTGTGGATAGAACTTTCCTTGAGGATATTTGATGGAGACTCATCCTCTGGAGTTGATTTGTGTTTTTATTTGCCAGACACCTCAGAAGTAACCAACCTGTTACTGTTTTTTATTGTTTGTTTCTATGCCTTGAAAGTATGTAAGGTTTCCTATCCAATGAAAATGGTACAAATTCTCTTCCAAAACAAAACAAAGGTCAGTGTATGGTTTCAGATTTCCAGGGAGAACTTAGATTTCAGTACCAATGGGTAAATTGTTTTTCCTAGTACACCATCTCACTGAGGGTCCTTCCTTTTCCAACTTTCTCTGGAAGACCTCATTCCAATCTGGGCTTATGCATGCCCAAGTTTTTCTCATATCTTTTTGAGGGGGCATGTTCCTGGCACACCAAGGTTGCAGTTCTCTCCTGCTTCTATTTTACTCCTCATTTCCTGAGGCTGACTCTTTTCTGCAAGCTAATCTATGCATGCAAAAGTGGGACCAACCCCCCAGGGGCCCCTAGTTAGGAAGTCTGGCAACCGGACGAGCTATGCCACCTGCTTCAACGCAGCACCAGAGTTGGAGTTCCATAAAACAGGAAGGTGCAAAAACAGTGTCATCAGCAACAAAGCCCTTACCACCTCCCAGCTCAGGAGGCTTTCCTGTTTCGTATAATATAGATTCAGCTCTATGCTGCTCTTTCAGAAATCTGAAAGGCCTAAATTGCATTATTAACCTACCTTCTCGTTAGCTTTGCCCAGGATGTCAAAGAGGGTAAGGGAATCAACATTTTTCTGCATTAAATAGTGACTGATAGAAAGCTACCTCCATATTTGACCCTGCAAATCCATTAAAAACCTGGGGGTCTGCCAGAAAGTGCCTTTATGCTTGGCTCTATATTAGCTTTCGTGACTTTTCCTATAATGAATTGTAGCTTGCTTGAGTCATTAGACAGATTCTGACAGGGAATCAGCTGGAATCTGCTGTTCTTTGAAGGGCTCAATTTATCTATGATTCAGTGCCTAAGCAGCCAGATAGCTCAGAGGGTCAGCCAAGGAACATAGCCCACGACTCTTGATTTGATTAAATTGCAAGTATGTGCATTGACTTTTAATATATGCATCAGATAAACTCGAGACAAGAAAATAACTATTTTCCATGCCACCTTTTCTTCATTTGGCATTTGGCATTCCAAGAAAGGGTTAATTAAAAGCTTCTGTTTGCTGGCTCTGTGACTGAATTACGGGCCTAAATTGACAGATTGAAGCAAGATTACATTATGTCTCTGTTAGAGCTAGCCACCAATAAAATCATATAGTGCTAAGTAATACTAAGCTATTAATTTAACTATCTTTTAACCTTATTATAGTTTTATATTCCGTGTCTTCTAAACATGCCTGAATGCTGTGTTCTACTTTGAAATATTTTTCCTTAATTCATATTTTATATTTTCCTTCCTAGCTTATTAATGTGGCCTTGGGTAAATGTGTTTCCATTGAAAACACCACAGCCATCCTGGAAGACTGTGATGGGAGCAGCCAGGTATGCCTAGCTGGGGGTTTCTATCTCATGATAGTGGATAGGTACCATGTTTGACACACTCATTGCAAACTTGAGAAATGTAACTTCAACCAATAGAAGTCCAGAACCAGTCTCTAAATTTCTCTATAATCCTAAGGCCTTTGTAAGATAGTCCACCCCTAAATGCAAAGTCAATGACTGAGGAAGTAAAGGAGTGGGTACTGAAGTCCAAGGACTGGCTCCAGTCTCTAAATTTCTCTATAATCCTAAGGCCTTTGTAAGATAGTCCACCCCTAAATGCAAAGTCAGTGACTGAGGAAGTGAAGGAGTGGGTACTGAAGTCCACGGACTGGCTCCTGGGCCCTTCCCTTGCAAGAATGGGTTCACCTGCACATGTTCTTTAACCTTTGGGAAAACAGTCCTTGCTTCTGGGGGTGAGACTGGAATTAGGTAACACACAGGAAACATGCAGTAACTAATGCTAGTGCTCTGTTAATTCTTCAACAATAATAAAAGCAAAAAATATTTTTAAGCATATGAGGATAAAATAATAGAGAAAATAGAGTACATAATTTTAAGTAATCATTCCAGCATTTTAAGGGAATCATGGATTTCACACAATCTACAATCCATGATGGAAACCCTGCAGCCAAACTCCCACAAACTCCCACAAACTCAGAGCAGAATGCTTAGGAGAGGGAGCAGGACCAGGGGAAATAGAACAGGGATGGCTCCTGCCGTGTTGGAGGTGATCTGAGAGATCACACCTCCCTCTCCAACATATGTTCCCTCACAGTTCTACCTTCTGTGGGAGTAGTTATCTGGTTTGGATGCCAAATAGGACTCACAGGAACAGATTCATGAGTAGAAATCAGCCCCCCAATTTGCAAATCACTCTTTGCTGAAAAAAAAATATTTTGCAGTGATAGTCTAGGTTTACTAAATCTTGCTTCTTTACTTTGACTTTGAGACATTGCTTACATTTTCAAGCACATCCCATCTCTACCTCTTAATTCAAAGCTGTTAATAGAAGAAAATGTATCTATGCTTTAATTCACTTATAATCTGTAGACACAAAACCAAGAGAAGTGTTTCTTAATTAGGAAAGAGAAGACAGAGGGAAGTGGAAAGTGTCAAAAAGAATCAATTGAAAGAAATAAATTTTGCTTATTAAAAATTAGAGGAGGAAAAACAAAATCATAAATTATAAAACAAAAAAACCCCACAATTAGTCTACATCATATAAGAATATTGAATAATGCACTTCTTCAAGACTCATCATTGTAGGTACTTATTGTATTTATTGTGCTTGAGTAACCATTATTTCATCTGAAACCCCAATTTCTGTTCTTTTGTGGTTACTGGGAATTGAAACCAGGCCCTGTGCATGCTATGCAAGTGTTCTACCACTACCAGCTTCTGTTCTTGAAAACATTGAGTCTCTACAAGGCAAAGTAGGAGATCAAAGTATTAATTATGTCACCTTCCATAAACCCCAACTTCCTTTTCATCTGGTTGTTCATTTTTAGCTTTTCCCTCTTATGGTTTGCTAAAGTAATAAAAGGGACAGGAACATAGAGCAAGTTATAATTTATCAGAAAAAACTAAAGCTTAATACCAAGCCCATGACTATAGAAGTCATCCAAAAGAGCTCAAAAGGAATAAATTCCTCAGATGGGAGTATTTAAACCTGTCCTTTACCTTACCAAAAAAGTCTCCTTAGTTTTAACTTCTAAACCAGTTAAGATGTTCCTTTTTTAGGTAATATACTTATCTTTGTATTCATATAACCTCCTTTGGTGATGTGGTTTTTCCATACTCTTCCCAATTTTAATGTCCACATAAATTATGAGGGGAGTTTATTCATGCAGATCTGGATTCAGTGGGTCCATGGTGGGGCTGAGATTCATCATTTCCAACTAACTCCAAATGATGCTAATGTTTGTCTAGGGAATACAAATTGAGTCATAAGATTCAACACATTGGCTTTAATTTAACCTGATAATCTGAATTAAATCTTAGTTAGACTGAAAATGATTTATTAGGTAAAAGCAATTAGATAGATTTTACCAGAAGTTTTATTTTTTTCCAAATATTTTTACTCTTAGAGTAAAACGACCAGGCAGATAATATTAGATTTTAAACAACTGTAGAAAATGTTTTTAAGGACTGAAAACAAACATGGTTCCATTGCCTGAATCAGAATTTATTTTAGACAATGTCAACTCTCCAAAACTAGATTTCTCTGAGAGCAGTTTCTATGAACTGGGGCATGCTAACATAACAGCAACCTGATGTTTCCTTGTACTATCAGCTGAGAAAGATCTAAACCTTTCCTATAGCAGAATGAAGCCTTTAGGAGTCCAATTGTCTAGATAGTCTGAATCAAGAAAGCATAATAATTTCCACCAAAGAAACTGAAGGCTGTGACTAGGATCTCCCTCAAACTACTTATGGCTTGGAAACTTAATCACTCTTCAAGCCCTAGTGTTGTCTGGGATTCAGAACACCTGAAACAACATTCATATGTGGATAGGTACTAATTGTACTCATCAGTTTTTAAGTTATAATTAACATTTATTGCAGACATATTGTATGCTAGAAACTCAATGGTCATTACTCTAACCCTCTGGCATAGATGCATTTGCTATCCAAGTTAAAAAGTTACAAAAATGAGATTAGACTGGGTAAATAATGTGCCCATACTATCAGAATTGAAAGTGGTAGCACTGGGATTTGAATGTAAATCATCAGATCATATTGCCTATATTCTTAGCTATTACTAACAAAAATGTTTGACAAAACCACTATCTATGTTTGCTGCCTGAAGTGACCTTCTCTATATTAATTTCCTCTCCAGTTTCAACAATTTAATTACACCTGGTTAAGACTAATTAAACATAAAGGATGGTGTTTGGCCCCCATCCCTGATGAGGGATCCCTGATGCTGCACCCCTGTGATAACAAAAACAAAGGGCTAAAATGGCTGCATAAATCCACCTCTGTCTTTCATCCAGAACTGGTAAGCAAAATATATGTACCTCTTCTTTGCCAGAAATTTAACTTTCAATCCATGGGTCATAAAACCCTCATTGTCAGTATCCTCATTTGGAAGCTTTAAATGTGTTTGTGTCAATGGAGGCAGATATTGATCTCCATTCTACTCAGAGAAAGAAACATTTTGTAAATTATTGTCTTTTTTTTCTTTTTCAAAATTTATTTTAAATGAATAATTTTTCAATAAAAGTCACTGGGTTCTTGGTTATATTGCTACATCTTTCTAAAATTAATTTGCTTCATTCAGTCAACAATGCCAAAAGCAAGGGTTATAACCCAAAAATTGGTTGTCAGAAAAGCATATAGGGAGAGTATAAGGAAAAAGCAAGAAGCTATGTGCTTACTGTATACCCTGCTCTTCAGAATGATTCTAGTTACTTGTCCTGCCCTCTTTCCATACAAGGAGATGTTTTCTCAGCCTCTGTGGTTCCCAGAGACCTGGGCCCTCAGAGGAGTGCTGGAACCAGCTCTCACTCTGCTATAGAAGCCCATTGTGTGCATCTTTTACCAACTATGTGCTCAGTGATATCACACTGATAGCTTGAAAACAGCCGTGAAGAGCGTCTTTACACCATAGAAATTAGCAGATAGATGCTACTGGATCAGGGAATATTTTTCAAGAGGTCTAATGGTTAATATGTATCAAAATGTGCCTGTTCTACTGTATTCATTCCCAAAGTCTGCCCAGTTTTTCCCAGTTGTATTTTAACACGATACAAAGTCATGTAGGACCTTGAAATAGCAGGAATAATCTCAGGACTGCCTTCTCAAATTTTCTACCATTTCACTTGCAGATAGTCACCAAATCCACTGTACGCATTGGTTACATGAAAACTATTATTCTTCCCAGAGCTGCCCCCAAAGTGTTCTCTACTATATATTAATCCCTCCTGAACATTTTTCTCTTTATTGATAATTATTATTATCAATTTGTTCAGAAAAAATAAGAATTGCTAGTGTATAAGCTGCTAATTTTGTCTTGCATACAGTTTAAGAAATCCATAAATATCTAGTGAATAAATTATACTTTACCTTCTCCTTCTTTAACCCTGTGCTAAAGGAGGGAGGAAGAAAATAAGGAAGGTAGAGAAAGAGAAGGAAAGAGTAAGACAATAAGAAGCACAATACATATTTCATCTCCAGAATTGAATGTTGGAATAGATTTCTGTAAGAAGGTATTTAGTGGTAGAGTTTTCTAAACAGTTGATTTGGTAAAGAAGATAATTTAATTAAGATACCAAAAACTAGAAAGCTCATAATCCCAGTAACTCTGAGGCCAGAGGATCACAAGTTCAAAGTCAGCCTTTGCAATTTAGCAAGACTCTAACCAACTTAGTGAGACACTGTCTCAAAGTAAATATATATATTTTTAAAAAGGTTGGGGAATGTAGCATAGTGGTAAAATCCCCCCAGGGTTCAATTCCTGGTACAAACAAACAAAAACGCCTAGAAAACTGCCCCCCAAACTTGTTTGTACCTGTGACTTTGTTTCATTCTACATAGCTGCTTGCTGTCTTGTGTCCCTTTTGATGTTACTAGATGTTCATGGAGACCAATATCTGGTCATAGTCTTTCTTCTCTTTTCAGTTTTTTTGGTAGTTTTCATATTATACCTCCTAAGTCCCTGTATTAGCCAGCTGTCCACCAGTATAGCAAAATTACTTAGATAATCAAATTATAAAGAGAAAGGTTTATTTTGCTCACATTTTGGGAGATAATAGTCCATGATCAGTCAGCCTTGTTGTTGCTGTGGGCCAGTGTGGCAGAGCTACACACAGTAGCAGGAGTGTGTGGTGAAGCAAAAAAAAAAAAAAGGAAGAGGCCAGGATCCCACAGTTTTCTTGGAGGACATGCCCAGAATGATTTATGGAGCTCCACTGAGCCCCACCTCTCAAAGGTTCCAGCACCTCCTAATGGAGGAAGGAAGTGGAGTAGTGAGTTTGATCCCAGACAACAATGGATTATTAAAATTAGATATGTCTGAATCTACATTTAAAAGGTGCTTCCCAGGTCAGCCCTCCTCAAGTGCTCTGGATTTCAACCATCCTAAAAGAATTAGTGTCATAAGTGGAAGACTTGGCCATGGAGTGCTTTTCCACCACTGGTTTCTATTGAGTGACTTTAAGCTGGGAACAAGTGACTTAATTACTGGGTGAATGCTGTAAACAATCCATAATGATTTTCTTCAAGGCCAACTGTTTTATAAACCTTGGGCATTTTCAAGCTTCATACTTTTAAAATACTGCAGTGGATTCTAGACATCAGGCACTATGTACTATCAGAAATTATGGTTAGGAGATCATAAATAAAATACATCATTTCTGGCATTCTGTAATACAGATTATAATATATATGTATTATATATATATATATATATATAATTGAGAATATATATATTCTAAACATGAATTTAATTAAGAAATTAATGAACTCATTCTCTGTCATGGCATGTGTTTTGTTTTGTTTTTTTTTTTATTACCAACACCAATGAGGTATTCATCATCTGTCAAATACATTAAATGACATCTGGATTGGGAGGGTGGGTACCGGGGATTGAACTCAGAGGCACTCGAATACTGAGCTACATCCCCAGCCCTATTTCTGTATTTTATTTAGAGACAGGGTCTCACTGAGTTGCTTAGTGCCTTGCTTTTGCTGAGGCTGGCTTTCAACTCACTGTTTTCCTGCCTCAGCTTCCTGAGCCACTGGGATTACAGGGGTGCACCACTGTGCCTAGTGACATCTGGATTTTTTTATGCTTTACATCCTACAGTTATTAGCCATATCATTAGAAAATTCATCTTTTGCTACCCCCAAATTAATAATCTCACAGCTTGGAGAAAATGAAACTTAGTTTGAGACAAAACAAACTAATACTTCCAAACCCATGTTTATGTTATTAATTTAGTTTAGGAGAATTCCTTAGAAATCAAAAATGTAGTTGCTCATCTTTTTGGAGACATGTTAGGATCATATATACATATATAAATAAATCTTTATTGTCAAGTTAAGTCTGTGGCTCATTCCCAGATCTTCTTTCTTTCCAGGTAAATCACATTGTTTTTGAAAACTATCATCAGTTGTTGTGCTTGGAAGGAAATTTTCCACAGAAGATGCTTAAAGTAGCTGCTTGTGACCCAACCAAACCACATCAAAAGTGGAAATTTGAAAAGTACTATGAAGAATGAAGAGGAACTGAGGTTTTGCCTAGTCAACACATTAGATAACTGTGAAAGTAACAGTGAACTCAGTGACTCTATTTTTCAGTGGTAGTTTAAATTTTCAATGGAATGGAAGATTTTTTAAAATCACGATATTTAGAATACCAAAAGATAACTCAGGGAAACGGTCCACCATTTGGGTGGACTGGAGTCCTGGTGGACTGGAGTCCTTCAGCCCAGGGTGGCCTTTGGTATCGCCTACTTCCTGCCCTGTGCGGGAACTCATTCTGCAGGTTTCCCTGGTGTAATCTCACAGGTAACCAGAAATGATAACAGACACAGGGGAGCACAATGATATTCACAATGACTGTCTTTAAACCCACAGAGAACCTGGTCCTTTATTTGTCATTTTTTTCATCAAACATAAACTGCATGAGTTCTTATGGCTAGAAAAATATCAGATGCACATAGGGTTACAATTCTGTTGAAATTTCTATACATGCATTTTTACCTAGCAATTTAAAACAGTACTGATCAACTATTGGTGACCCCACCTAATAGCTGATTTTTGATCTAGAATATTGCATAGTGTTTTATTCTCAGTCTGAGTCATAGAAAAACTTTTAAGTAAGAAAGAAGGGGTCTTTATAAACACATTTAATTCTAAATGTAGAAATTGTTTCAGCTCATTTTGTGCTTTTAAAACTGCACTTTTAAATAACTGGTCATACCAGTAACTTCCTGGATTTGTGTGGATATTAATTTTTTAAAAGCAAGGAAAAACAGTAGTAACCAAAAATATATTTGGTTGCTGAAGATACTCTAATTTAGGGCAAAGTGAGAGAGCTGAAACAAAGCAGAAACAGTGTACTGAAAAAAATATTAATTTTATATGAAAATAATAAAATGCTATTTTAGATTTAACAGCATTAGTGGGATGAAGTATGTTTAAAAAAATATACTCTAAAAGACTTCAAAGTAGAAATAAAGTTAAGAAAACATAATGGAAAAGGAAGGAAATGAGGTAAACAACTCTTAGGAAGAGAATTAAGAAAAAAAATGCCCTGGAGTTTTCCTCCCTGAGCAAAACAGCAAAGCTCTCAATGTGGACCCAATGATAACAATTGCAAATTTGGGGGGAAATTAACTATTTTTTGATCAAAATAAAATTCTCATCATAAATATACCAGTACTTACGCATACTAAAACAAATCTTAAAAATCACATTATTTTCAACAATTTTGGTAAGAAAATTAATACCTGAAGATAATTCACTTGTCTAAAACTCACAGGCCAAGCGGGGCATAGTGTTGCATGTCTATAATCTCAACTACATGGGAAGCTGAGACAGGAAGATTACAAGTTCAAGGCTAGCCTGGGCAATTTAACAAGACTCTATCTCAAAATAAAAAAATAAATAAATAAAAAGGTCTGGGAATGTAGCTTAATTGTAGAGGCCCCCTGGTTACTGAGGCCATCCTCAGTACCAACAAAGTAAAACAAATAAAAATAAAAATCACAGGCCAATTAATTGGAGAATCAAGATGAGAATTCAGCTCTTCAGATTCAGGGACCATTCTTTCATTTCAGGCCACAGACCTGAACACATTTCTCCTATGACAGACCTTAGAAAGTGATATGCAACCTCTTTGTTGGGTCCCAGGATAGCCATGCTTATTCTTGTTAATATTTTTTTTTAAAAAAAGACTTTAAAAATATTTGAAATATTTTTTTTCAGTTGAGTTAATGGTAAAACTGGACAATTTTAGTTCTGACTTTCTATGTAATACAACTTCAACATCCAACTGAGTATGCAAAAGCAGAATTATAAGGATGGGAAGGGGAAATATTTTTTGCACATTTATAACAATGTAAGATGTTTTATTCAAATAACTGATGATTGCAGATAAGAGAATAAATAGAAAATGAGATAGTCTTTTCAAAAACAGCCATATGAATGAGAAACACAAGTCAGTTCAATTAGGCAAAGGATTAATTGAATTGCTGACCAAGCCAATTATACTTAGGTACCTCCTGTGATTCTTTGTGTAACTGAAAAATGCTGAAAGGTCCCCAGTCTCTAGAGTCTCCATTCTATCCGGTTTTTACAAAGAAAAGTCAAGTCTTTTCAGAAAAAGGGTAAGTCATCATATGGCGCCACCCACCTTTGCTGAAGAAAGGTCTGTGTCTTTCTCAAAAGTCCCTTCTCCTTTCTGCTCAGTGCAGCCTCTTCCTGACCTTACCTGACACACTTCTTATAGAAAGCTATATTTGAATCCATATTTTCAATAGAACAAAATTATTTTCAAACTTCACATGTTTGTTCTTTAAAAAAAACTGTTTCACTGTATATTTCCTCAATTACTCTAATAGGCAAAGAACTAATCACTATTTAAGAATCTGTGTAGGCCTAATAGTGAGACAATTGACTAATTGTCAAATCTATTCTAACAATTTTTAAGTATTGCCTTCTAAATTTAAAAACAAAAACAGTGGAATAAGTGTATGAATGCTACCACGTCTTCTGGTACTTCTCGTGCTAAACCCTGGGAAGGGGCACTTTGGGGTCCAAATCAGCCCTGAATTCTTCAACATGAAGTTGTGTTATTGGGGGCTTCAGTTTTACTTGGATTGGCTTAGGTTATTGCCTTTTCAACAGAAAAAAAGTCTATGTATCTTGTTATCTTGTTAACTTGAACACAGGATAGCCTTGATAATATTTGGCAGAATTTATGTGACCAAAAAGCTAATTTACCAAACCCTCAAAGTGCTTTTGTTCCTGTCAGTTGTCATAACAATGTTTTATGACCAGTACCAAATTTGCTCAGTTCTGCTTGCTGACATTTAATTGGCTGTCATCCACAGGGCTGCAGACTCCAATGGGCCATGATCACAATGTATCTGTAGCCTCACCACACTAATTTGGAAACACTCTTTTAGGTACTCAAACACCTTGCTTCTGTCATTGTCTTAGGGACTATAGAGGAAGAAGGATACCAGTCACAGGAATTCAGTATTTCCAGCCAACTCTCATGTCATGAATGCCTTAGAATGATTTTCGAGGAGCACTTATGCAAGAGAATGAAGTTGAGACATATTAGATAGTACCATTGTTTTTGGTTCAAACATTTCTAATTTAACTTCTGCATTCAGAATGCAGGAAATAATTGATAGCTCAGACAAAGATCCAAATATCTTGGATAAAAAATGAAGATGTTATAAGAGGGGACAGGAAAAGTGAGGAGCTATTATTGTTGAGCACTTCCTACACACTAGGCACTGCAGTTGGGTTGCAGTTATTGGTATCACAGATAGTGAAATAAGATGGAGTCAAACCTCTGTGATCTCTATTATGTTTGGATAGAGAGGAAATAGAAGCTGTGTATCTCTCTGTGCATTAAGTATAAGTGTGTCAACTCCCTTATGTCTTGCAATGATCTATATACATGATTTCATGCAAGACCTGTTCTTTTCTACTTTCTGTATCAAATACGAGTGATAGATATGTACAGGTTTGCTTCCCTGTAAACCCTAAATCTTTCTTCCCCAAATCTTTAAGCAAAGCTAACAAGTTGCTCAATTTGAATAGAAGTAGAAAATAAAAAATTGAAGACTTTCAATTTAAAATAGAAATCATGATTCTTAACTTCCATTCATTGTGTAGATTGTCACTAAAGTGCTTTTGCAACCAGTGTTAACATAGGTTGTTCAATGATTGCTACAAGTCCAAATGCTTTGAAATGAAAAAAGAAATCCTCACCAAGGCTGTTGTAAAAATATTTATCTTTTTTATAAATACCTGTTCCATTCAGGTTTGAATAAGCCATATAAAGTATTATATTCTGCCATGAAGCTTAATGGATGATATTAGAGTTGCTGGTGCCTGTATCTAAGAGAAAGAGCAGAGGGAATACCATCAGATACAATGAACTTAATGCTTCCATTTTCAAAGCAGTAAGTCAACTTATAGTCAGCATTTTAATTCAGATCCCTTTGCCAATTTATGTAAGCCTTTGCTTTATAAAACACACAAACAAAACACTAGTGAAAATTCTCATTTTAAATCATATAGGGCAATTTAGAATAATTTAGAATATGCTGAGATCCTAGTAATGACAACTGCCATCAAATAAGTAATAAATATTTTTTAAATAAAGGTTTTCTATTTTATTGTTAATTGATAATTGTGAGTTTAAAGTTGTTAGTCACAGATCTCTACATAAATAAAAGCCTTTAAATTACATATTGAAATTAAAAGCTTTGATAACATGAATTAAGATTTTAATTTTTTCCTGACCATTCAAAAACATCAATTTTTGTAAAGGCATGTGCATGTGTATGTGTGTATTTGATGCTATAGATTGGGAGAAAGTAAAACCCAGAATTTCCACCTGCAACATGAAGGAAATTAAATGTCACTGAATAATTTTAATTCTCTTAGTTACATGGCTTTGTCTAATCTAACTTTCTATATAACAGTTTCAATAACAAGTGAACTTTCACTCTAGATACTGTTTTGCAGACTTGAAGGAGTAATCAAAATTATCGGCGTGCTTGTTCTTCTGTTCATGATTGTGCACAATGATCTCATTCTTCTCCTTCAAACACTGCTCAAATTTCACTAGTTTTATACATATTAGTCCATAGGAAGTGAGCTTAAAACAAGACAAAGAAGAGTATTGAATAATTTTGTTATTGATTCCCTGAAAACATTCCTTAGTGAGAGAACAAGATTGAAGTTATAGAGCATAAAGGAGTTTGGAGTCAATTTGGACATCTTTATGTACCACATTTTTGCCTATGATCAACCAAAGTCATTATAAAGAAGGAGTTGGATAGATAATTTTTAATTTCTAGGAAAAAGTACAAGTAGCTTTCTAAATTTATGTCTAAAATTTCCCTGACCTGGCAGGTAGTTCCTAGATGTCACCAGTGTCTTTTGTACTTTGCCATGTCTCTAGATGATTTCTGTTGCCCACTACCAGCCCCCCCACCCCCCACCCCCCGCCCCGTGTCATTATGTCTGTGTAGACAGTATGGCCCAGTCATCTCGTGTTCTTCATGAGCTCTGTAAAGATTTTGGTCCTCATATTTATGGTGTTATGCTACAGTTTGATATTTTAATATTGGCAAATATAACTTTGACATTACCTTTTATAGCCCTCTTGTTTTTATAGAGCAATGAAAGTTCAGACTTTAAGAGAAGTGGTTGCCTTTCTCATATGGTCAAACATATTTCTTCTTTATGATACCCCGGTGTTTCATCCTTTTCCATAATTCTCTATTATTACTTATTTTAAATGTTTTCCCTATCACTTTGAAAAACTTAAATGTCTGTTCTCCATTTGAAAATGTGCCAAAAGTACTACCCCATGTAAATATGTGGAAACAATTACTATAAAAGTTCCAGCATAGTTTAAATGTATTACCTTGACAATTACAAAGATAAATATGTATTTTTTCAAATTGTTGGTGTTAATATGCAACTAAAACAATATCTCAGTTTCTTTCAAAGTAATAGAAATTTTTTTCCTGTATATTATATATCTCCCAGAAAGTTTTTATAATTTCATATGTAATCATTTAAAAATCCTTTTTGAAATAAACAATGCAAACGAATTGAAATGAGGTGTTCTCTTGATTTTTGAAAAGGCAATTATTGATATTCTTAGTAGCTGCTAATATGGAAGTTTCTTACTAAAATTTAAAAGGTGGCAAAACAAAGTCTAGAAACCAGAAGCAAAGACACAAACTTTTATTCACAGCAAGCCAGACACAGCAGTTCTTTATTTAAATGTTAATATACAGAGATAAGTTCTACAAATTCTGTGTCTTCATCATAACATTATATTTACAGACAAATAAAGCTATTATTAATTTTTAATCAGATGACAACAAAAGAAAATAAAAGGTCATGCAAGAAATATCAGCATTTGCACAATAAACCAATTTTCTTTTCTCTCAGATACCAGAGTTCTAACTGAACCTGGAATCACAATGACTCAGGTAAACCTCATGTGTAGTTACCAATGTGTGTCCTTAATCACGTCCCATGTGCCTTTCAGATATGTTGAGTATCCCTCACATAATCTGAAACAGGACCTTGTCTTTGCCAAGCTACAAAGACTTAAATCCCTGCCCTATTTCTCCAGGTAGCTTAACTCTGTGACAGCAGTAAGGGCAACACGTGCCAATGCTGAAGACGAGTGTCAGTGCTCTCTTGTAACCACTTTTCCCCATCCATGAACTTGAAGCATTTACCAATTGAACATACCCTAACATAGTCTCTGTTGACAAAATATTTCACAATTGGTTAATTGTCTGGTAAGAATACACAGCTAAAAAGACCAAAACACTATATACTGCAGCCCATAAGAGCCAGTTGCTTTGCCTTGTCACCTACCCATAGACCACCCATCTCCTTCAAGTTTCACAGGAATTCATCACCTCGTTTAGAATAACTCAAAATGCAGGGTAAAGTGGACTAACAATATGGTCCTGTTCCATGATGGAAAACACAATACTGTACTTTGAAGTTAAGTAGAAAATCATAGGGGAAAGAAAATAGTTTCTAGGTGGAACAATTTAAAGGCTCTAAATTAAATAGAAAATTGTCCTAGTGCACCCATCTCCTACCTAACATTATCAATAAAGATCTGACTTCCCTCATGTTGTCTCAAATGAAATCTGCAGGTTCTGTAGTAACTGTGAAATAGAATAAAAGGAGCACCTTGATCCTGAATAACATTGAGTCTTGCAAACACTAAATGGCAGTATTTAGTGGAAAAATATTATATAACCAGGAAGAATTAAAGAAGCTGCCATTAAGACATGTGGGATTTGTTACACATAAATAAGGAATAATCTAGAAGGAATAACTCAGGCTTTTTCACAAAATGAAAAAGAAATAAACAAAGGGCTGAATAGTACAATGAAGACTGTATTACACTCAGACAATAAGGAATTGTCTTTTTATTTGTGGAGCCAAAAGATATTTTTAACTGTGGCAACAGAAAGTTCAGGGTAATATATATGGAAACATGAAAAGAAACATTGTGGAACAAACTAAGTAAGAATATAAATATAGACTCTCTTTTCATAAATATTCAATACATTATTTGATGCATTGATTTGAGTGAAGCTCCACAAGTATAATTTTAAGTTTTTTTTTATTTGGGCTGAGGTTCAGTGAATTACATATTCCCAACAACTATCAGAACTTTCTCACTAAAAATATATGCTCACACCCTACTTTAAAAATATTCTAAGATAATTATTTCCATTTTCATAGTAACTAGTACAGTTGTGACTAGCATTGTCTCAGGTTTCTAAGGAAATAAAATTATTCTGAGATCCTGTTAATAAGAGAAAGCATGATAATAGAGAGGGACATTCTCCGAAAACTGTGCTAAAATCATCATTTTTCTTTTTTATGACTTTAATTGTGCTAGACAAGATTTTGTTTTCAGTCACAAAAATACAACTATCCAATATAACTCCTTAGTCTATTGCCCACAATCTTCTAGCCCCTCCCTTTATCAACCTCACAATGGGTTTAATTCAGTTTGAAAGCATAAAGCCAACATTTAGCAAACAGAATTCTGCAATAGCTCTGCCTCTTAGTGAGAAAATTCAGTGAATGGTGACACTAGGAAGGTGGTCCATAGAATTTTCACTCACTAGATGCCAAGGAAAACCACTCAAGATGTTTTCTTTTATGGTAATAAGGCAAATAATTTTTGAAAGTTTATTACCAGAGTCTATAAAAAACATGCTTAAAAGGAGGAGGACTCAGAGAAAGAAAGACACCAGAAGAAATACAGGAGTCATTTCAAATAGTTATCTCTTTGATTTGATGGCTACTTTTTCCAGCTTTGCTACTTTTAAAGCCAAATCATGCAAGAGTCCCCAGTGGGTCTGGCTTTTAATGCTTGTCACATAATGCTATATTAGTAAAGTTTTAAATAGCAAGTGCTCAAGAATGAATCTAAAGCTTTTTGATTTGAGGTTACCAGACTGAGTTTTGTCTAAGGTTATTTCCATATCATTCTACAGCAAAAAAAGACAATAAGCTTGCCTGTGTTTCAAGGGGGGGGGGGGGGGGGCAGTAACTCAAGGCATAGAAACATTCCACTCAGGACAAATGGAATTAGCTTTTTCTTTAGTGGGTGTGAGAAATTCTCAGTTCCAGTTAGTTCATAAATGCATCATAGACTCGAATTCATCAATTCTTTGCTTGGTGTTTCCCTTCCTTATTTTCCGATAGGATATTGTATTGTATCTTGAATAAGCATTTCTGGAGATATCTCCCTTCTTTCCTAATGTTGGCTGCTCATCGGGTGTCACAGGTTGGGAGCTGGGGCTGCTCAGTGGGGAGTCCTCACTTGCATCGGTTTCTTCTTTAAATTGAGAACCTTCTTCATATTTTTTCTTGAATTCTATCACTCGAACTTCATCTTCATCATCATTGTAATCATCATCATTATCCTCAGGAGCTTCTTCATTCCAAACCTCTTCCTGCTCACCATGTTGAGAATGCAGCATGTCAACTTCGCTAGGTTTGCGAAATCCCAACCATTCAATTTGTGCTGCCTGGTGAGCTTTGTTCTTCCTATCCTCGTTTTCTCTCTCTTCTAGAGGTTGTTTGGCAATTCTTTCTTTTGGACTATTTATTTCCTGGTTACTGCGGCTCAGAGGAATCTTCTCCCACTGATGCCCTGTAGCAAAATCAATGGGTAGTTGAGATGTTCAGAGGTTCCAACATACTGAGGTGTTACTTTGTTATTCTCTAAATTATTTTTCTGGACAATCAATTTCCAATGTGTGATTTATGGGATATGACTCTGGGCTACTTATATGTTCTACACAATCAAACATGCTTCATGGTCAAATTAGTTTGGAAAATAACTGCATTAAATACAGTTAAATAAGCTTCTTTGGAATTTATACGAGCCTTTAAAATGTTAATGAACATTGTAAATCTCCAGGAAAGGCTGCAACTCAACCTCGTTTGACTATGGAATTCTATTTTGTGTACCACTATATTTAGTGAGACTGATATCCCCTGAGAAACACTTAACTATACTCTAACTTGTCAAACTGGAAATATAATATATACAATAGAATGTTTGGACCTATTTCACACATACACAAACACAGCCCTAAAGGAAAATTTAAAAAAATAATGACTGCTTATGGTCACGCTCACAGTAGCAAACTTGGCATTTGATGCTTTCTTTCTCAGAGTTGCCCTAAGGTAGTCAGGTATGGAAGGAAGAGCAAAGACCCTCATGTGGTCAGCACACAAGGCTGGCAATTTAGGCACCAAGCCCACCAAAGCCACAAAAAACAGTCTGAGACCTGCCCAGATTTTGAAATCATGCAGAGGTCATTGTTACATAATGCCACATTAGCCTGTATTTTAGGCATGTCCCAAACGACAAGCAATTGACACAAGTTATTTGTTATTGTGTAGTAACATTTAAAAGGCTTAAATGCACTGAAATTGTCATTTTTCAAACACCTAGATCATGTCAGTATACCTTCAATGATATTTATGGAACATGATAAGAATTAATTATAAGAAAGCAGAGGTTCTTTTCTTAGCTTTTGTCCCTGAACAGCTTCTGTGGGAAGCTTCAGTCTGTAATGTACAAGAATCAGAAAGGTCTGAGTTGGGTCCCTTGCTGGGCCTGGGCCCACCATCACCTTCTAACACCATTAGATCCTATATCTAAGTAAGGTGAGAGGCAATTTTGTTCTCTTTGTTCTTTCCCTTTACAATTCTCCCTGAAAGTTGTTCATAAGTCCATTTCATCCAAAGTTTTTAGTTTCCTTTCCTTTCATTTTTTTTATTTTTATTTTATTTTTTTTACTGTAGGAATTAAGACTATAATCTTACAAAAAAAGGGGGGGATTGTCACTCCACATTAAATATACAGCTGCAATCAGTTCATTGGCATCCAGTCAATATTCTTTTCATTGCATATAAGTATACATTAGAATGTTTGCTCTAATATCAAGCTTTGTTTTGTTTTTTCCAGAAGAACCAAAGAAACTGACATTTTTATTCATATTCAGGACTCAGGCATGGATTATCACCAATGAAATTACTTGAATTTAAGTTATAGTTTTTCCCCAATATTTTTAGCATTTTTATCCAGGAGCATTGCCTTTCAGGATTTTTTTTAGCTCTTTGCCATAGTGAAAATAAAAGACACCAAACCTCTTGCTCTGTCATAGAGGAAAAAAAGCACACAGTCCATGTTTCATCAGACAAGGACTCATTCAGGGACAAATTCAGTGATAAGACCATATAGCATTAAATAGAGTCTGCTTTCATTCTCCATTTAGTCAAATTGGAAGATTCTAAAAAACTATCGACTATAGTGGGTCTTCTGAATAGAAATTTGAAGGTGGCTCTGGATGGAAGACTGTGATCCCTGCCTCCAATGGCTTATTCCATTGGAAGCAAAAAAGACTAAAGCAAAGAATGTATTGAGTTCATTTTGTGGGATCTTAAGTTTTATAAGTTATCTCTGATAAAGTATTAGCTTGACAATAACTATTATTTGCTACCTTTTCCCTTAAGTATCTATGTATTGGTCAGCAGACAGTTTGAGAGTTGTCCAGCAAAGGGAAGAAGTCCAAGAAATTGCCAAACACCTCCAGTCTGCCTGAATATTTGCAATTTTATGTGAAGTTCTAATATTTCAACCAGTAGTCTTTTCAATATTTTGCCTGTTAAGGTTCAAAGCTAAATTAGTTATGTCTAACAAACTGGTTTAAATTTCTAGATAAGATGTTTATAGGGGCAGGAGAGGAAAAAAATGATTAATTGATAGATTTTATTGGGTACTTTATTTGAAAGCTGCTTGAATGTATGTGTCTTCTTAGAAGTAATGTCTAAAGGATTTTGTGTCTTGTGGCCTATTCAGTTTAATAAAAATTAAATATTTGTCACTTCAATGTTCTCTTTATTTCCCCATTTACTTAAAGAACAAAATTAAAATTAACTTCATCACAATAGAAACTTTCTTTGACAAGAAACAGTTCACCATTTTGTACTTATATCAGAGGCCTAGAATTTTCCTATAGAGCAAATCAATTTACAAAGTTACTTTAAACTGTCTGTCAATAATTGTCTTTTAGGGTAAACCTATTTTTGAAACATTTACATTTCACAAGGTGCCTGGCAAAGATTTGGAGACACCAGATTAAAAAAGAAAGGTTGATTAAGTGGGCTAACACATTAAGACACAGATATCGAATTGGTATGCCAATCAGTTGTACCAATCCATGCAATTTTAGTCTTGAGTCATCTGGAATGCTTCCTGCGGTGGAACCGACAGATAAGTCAAGACTCTCTTATCTGCCTATTGCAGCCTTGAGATTGTGAAGTCAGTGCCTCAATTGCTTTTTCAACATTTTACTCACACAACATCCCATGTGAAAACTGTCATCATATCCAGTCAAACAATTTCTGTGTAGAAAACTCTAGTTCCCATTACCTTCTCTGAATGTCATTTCTTCAGCACTTGTTTCTTGGAGAGACAGATCTGTGATAGCCTTATGAACAATAAAGAGGTGATCTTCTGGGTTTTCTGTGGGGGGGAAATACAAGTATTATAACATGATATATATATATATATATATATATATATATATATATAGAGAGAGAGAGAGAGAGAGAGAGAGAGAGAGCTCAAGGGATGTAAATTTAGACTCTAGGTAGATTTTTAAATTTTTAATTATGATTATTAAAACTAACCATTTAACTTCTGATTTTTAACTGATTTCATTAATTTATATAGCAATTAATTTCTTTACTGATATTCTCTCCCTTTATGCTTATATAAGATAGAATCATGAATGCAGACCTCTTTAGTTATGTATGACAGGAGATTACAAAATTCTGAATTCTCTTTGTTCAGTAATAATATTAAATCACAGTAGTTAACATTTCACTAACACTTAGTAATTCTTGCCACTATCCTACAAATGTAGTAAAGATTCTTCTGCTTTCTTCTAGTGGGAAAAAAAAAAGCAGGCACAAGAAGACAAAGAAAATTGTCCAGGATCATAGAGCTATCAAATACACAAGCCCCAGAGGTAGAGGTTCAGTTATTATGTCATGCAGCCCTAGTAGAATAGGGAACTACAGTTCTTCCTCATTCCTATAATAGCAGTTTATTTAAAGCAAACAAACAAACAAACAAAACACCTGAGTGAGCCTATAAGCAAAACTACTAAAGTGAGGAAAAAGGGAAATAGTTTACCTTTTAGAATCTTCTCATCCATGGAACAGTTGAGTAGAATGTTCCCTTGTGATTTTCCTCTTTCTTCCTGATTTCCTTTTGTGGGCACATCTTCAGGACCTGGTTCAACCCTGTAGTCTGGTAGGGTCCGGTCCATATCAGTTGCATCCTCATTGATTTTAGTGGTAGGTTGCTGAACAGTTTCAGGAAGACTATCCCCATTACACTCAGCCCCACTAAATGTCCCAGGAACATCTGTCATGATGTACCCTGGAATCCAATTTGGAAAGAGCTTTGGAGAAACTGAGCAAATCCTCTCTTTGCTCTCAAATCCTACAGTTTCAACTCTAACTCTAAAAATACAAATTATTCACTTTGGTACATAATGATGAGATTCTTTTCCTAAAGGTGTCCAGACAGAGTTTAGAATAAATGCAATAGGATTTGCCAGATTTGCCAGGAGCCCGTAAGCAACCATCTAGCCAATCACCACATCCCTTGTTGCTCAGCAGTCCCCACTTGCAGAATTAATGTCACCCTTTTGATTTACATAAACAAACAATCTGAGGCAATCAGGCTTTTGTGTTGGCATGTAGAGGGGGACTTTCAGCTTGTCAGTCCCCCTCTGGGAACAGAGATTTTTGTCCCTTTCCATAATGGCCCTTTGTAATTTTCCTGGTAACAGGAGCCACAATTGTTCCCCAGCTTTAATCCAGAGAGAATGACCACCTTGAGGCATATTAGTTCTGTGTCACCAGCTTAACATATCCAAACGGATTTTGTTCAAGTAAAACCTCTGCTATTTTATAGGGCACAATGGCATCGTTTCTTATTTATCAAAGAATAAAAACAGCTTATCGAAAACCTGTAAACAGGATAACTTTATTGTAAATGATTTTGGCAGCAGATTTCATGGTGTGCTTTCAGGAGGTCAAGAAGGGACCTCAGAGAAAAACAAAAATGTTACCAACTTGCTAATACCAAAAATTACACAATTTTAGAGGCATTCACTTTGTCTCTATCTTTTCATCCTCTAGTTTATTTATGTCTGCTGGAGCCCAAATCATTCTTTTAAGACCTTTACAAATTTCTCCCTGAAGTTTCCCTTTTCCTAATCAGAATTATTTCTACATTCCAGCTGGTATTATGTGATCCTGGTAAAATTATAGAGCACCAATACAGTCTGCCCATGGGGAAAATGGTGATTAGTTAAAGCATTGCTACCAGCCCCTCCCCCCAGGCTTTTTTAAAGGTATTAATTGTTTTTCCTGTTTGAATCCACATGGTAGCAAATGATTCCAGAGCTTATGCCTACACTGCTGGCTGTGTAGAGTGCCATCCCTTCCTCATAGCCAAGCCCTTCCCTGACCCCCAGGACTTGAACAGGACTCCAGCCACACATTATTTTTTCCCTTCTGACTACTCTTTGCAGATATAATGAAAGAGTAATTGTTCAATTATCTGTGTAATGTCTTTCACCAACTAAAACCTAACCTTCATCTGGAAAGGAATATGTTAACTTGCTAACCTGTCTCCCTAACATGTATCTACTGGTAAATTGGGTAGGCACTCGACTTTTTAAATTTATGTATATCTATATATCTATATTTATATATTTAATGAGTTTACTCCTGAGAGAATACATTTCAGATCTTTTTAATAAGAAGGTATAAAGAATAAGGGTAGAGTAGTAATTGTAAATTTCTCACCTTTAAAATTGTGCCTAGGGCTAGCCTATTAGGGTCTAAATCAGGAATGACAAATGAAGTGCACTGTTCATCATCCCCACTTCTGTGTCCTTGGATGCATCTCTAATAGATCCTAAAACTTCTTCCTCCCTTGGCATCACCAGTTGTTCTACCCAGCACACAAATCGTTTGATTGTTTTCAATTTCTTCAACAAACACTGTATAACACTTATATGTGAGCCACTGTTCGGTTTCCCAAATAGTAATAAGTTCTATCTTCATAACAGCTCTGTGAGACAGGTACCATTATTATCCCATTTTACAAACTAGAAAAACAGAGCACAGAAAGATCAAGGAATGTACTCAAGGTCACACAGCTAGTAAGTCTACTGATAGGAATTTGCACCATTAATGAAGCCAAGTGACTTCCCTGACCTGTGTCCCAGAGATCTCTGGGCCAGAGGTAATATAGGGATCCAGAATTCCCTGTGGCAACAGAGAGAGCTGGAGCCATAAGAGGGCAGCAGAAGGCCTGAGGCAGGATCAAAGACTGCCCAGGAGAAACTGCCTTACAGACAATGTTGGGAAAGTGTCCTTTGAAGAAGCTCAACTAGTAAGCCTATGAATGAGAAAATACTGATGGAATCATACTAATATCCTTGAGGGCAGAAAATGGCATTAATTTAACCGAATGCCCAGCTATGTACATAGAAATATAGAAATCCTTTCATTAACTTTGAGGAACCTGTCTCCAATTCCTACCAATAAAACTGGCAAGAATTTAGAGAGTTTGGGACAATTGATCTCCCACTTTAGATTTCTCTTACCCTGTAGCAAGTGCAACATATACTTACAGACTTGCTTTAATGATCATTTATTTATGTATTTATTTATTTATAAATTGTTCTCTTTGTAATGCTATACTTTGACTCTTTCATGGAATTAGAATTATTTCAGATCCAGAAAGTAAAAAAAAATGATCCAGAATTCTCTTTGACTTGGCAAACTATTGTATTTACAAAAAAACCCAACAACTCTATAAATGGTGTTATGCTGACCTGCAAAATAACAGAGGTCAGGCAAATGGTTCTAACATGTTATTTTCTTACAATAAGGTGGCAACATGAGACACAGTTAGCAGCAAGATGATTCTAACCACGAAATAAAACACAGGTTATTCTGTCTATAAAGAGGTAAGTTGTTTTTAACAGCCAATAACTTAAGAAAATATGTTGGAATTTCCACTAATAAACCTTTAATTCAAATATTATTCCATAATATCTACTGTATAAAAAGATGACTTTTGAAAATACAATTTCCTGGAGTATTTGAATTATTCTACTTAGTATTCATAATGGTAATTGGTAAAATTGTAACCATTATTAAATTTATAAAAAATACAATAATGGAATCTAAAGTGTCAAAATAAAATTATTAATAATTGTCCAATGTCAAATGCTTGAAGTTAAGTCTATATAAGGTCCATAAATGGGATTTGGGGAGAAGTAATAAAATCCTAATCCTTAATAATATGTGGGAAAACAGGAAATGGAGAATATCATGCTAAGTGAAATAAGTCAAAATCAGAAACCCACAGGTCAAATATTTTCTCTCATATGCAGAAGCTAGAGTAAAAGGAAGGAAGGAAAGGAGAAAGAAATAATAGGATAACATAAAGAACCAATCAAATATAAATTAAGAGATGAGCAAAAGGAAAACTAGTAGAATAGAGAAAAGAGAATGGGAGGGGGGAGGGAAAAGTGGGAGGGAAAAAGGGATGATCGCTGGAAGAAATGACGGTAGGCATCTGGTGAGGACTGGAGGAATATTTGACTCTGAACAAAGGAGCAACATGTAGGACCCTGCAGCCAAGATGAGTGGAACTGAGAAATGGGGATGGAGAATTCTAAGCAAGAATTAAGTGACTCCTCCAAAAGGAGGACAAATGAGCATTTCTATCAGTGACCCCTATAGTGGTCAAGAGGAGGGAGTCAGCCTGCTCCTTTGTAACCTTTGGCAAGTATAAGAATCAGGCCTCTCTGAAGTATGGATTACAGAAATTCATGAAAATAATCGTTTTTCTGTTTGCTTGCTTGCTTGTCGGCAGTGCTGTGGATCAAACCCAGGCCATGCTAAGCAAGTGTTCTACCATGAGCTACATGTCCAATCCCAAAGAATCTTAAACTCTATGAATTTATCAGATCATATAATAGCTAATTCCAGAGTTGGCTTCATACTTGTTTTGATCCAAGGATTTAAACAATATTACAGGTAATCCATTACTCTTGATCACAAGGAAAGTACATATTTGGAGGTACTAGACCTGAGGTCTAGTCTTTTTCTGGGTACCTCTAGCAGAATGTAGTAGGCTAAATGATGACCACTCTCAAACATATTCACATCCTAATTCCCAGAACCTGTTAAGTGTTCCCTTCTGTGGCAAAAGAGATTTTATAGATGTGATTAAATCAAGAATCTTGAGATGAGGAGATTATCCTGGATTTGGGGATTGGATGGAGTCACAAGTGGGTGTGAAAAAGGAGGCAGAAAGGTCAAGGTAGTAGATGTGACCTGGAAGAAGAACTTTGGAGTGACATGAGGAAGAGATGATGAGCCCACAGATCAGGGCAGCCTCCTGAAGCTGGAAACACAGGGGAATGTCTTTCCAGTGTTTTCTCCCTTGAATATTCTCAATAAAATATAGCCCTGACAACACCTTGATTTTAGACTTCTAACTGAAGTCTAAAACTGAATGAGAATAAATATTTCCTGTTTTTAAGCCATTAAAATTTGTGGTAATTAGTTACAGCAATAATAGGATGCTAATAGACTGAGTCTCCTACATCTCTGTCTTCATTTTCAGTGACTGGCTAGGGGCAGAAAATTCAGGTTTCCAACCATTTACAGGATACATATTTTTAAATTCCAGCCATCTTGAATTGCTTCCTTTTGACCAAAAGGGTCTCTCTTAACAAAACTGTATTTTCTTCTCCCTCAGCTTTCCAGTAGTTCTTGTCTGAAATTTGTAGAAGGTTACTAAAAGCTGTAAGAAAATCACAAACTCTCTAGCACCCTGATGTTTTTCTAACAAATCTAAAATTCAGTCTTCATCAGGAAATGGTATGAATCAAGATATATGAAGAGGGCTGGGGATGTAGCTCAGTGGTAGAGAGTTTTCCTAGCATACGTGAGAATCTGGATTCAATCCCAAGTCCTGGAAAAAAAAATTTCAAGAAAAAAATGTATAGCAATTGTGGAATCGTGGTTAGCTTTACCGTCAAGGATGGGCAAAATGATCTCTGCTTCTCATTGCTCCTCTATTGATCCAATCCCATCATTTAAGGTCTACAGTATGTAAACCATTCATGATATCTTTTCTTTTTCTCCTTCTTTTGTATGCAATGTTTCATTGTTTGAAAGTGAAAGAGATTCAATCCAAAACAAATTCAGCAAAAGTAGGACTTATTCTGACTTCTGAAATGTTCTCTATCCTTCTCTCCTCTATTTCATCACTCCCATTATTTTACTCCCCTATATATTAGATTTTTCTCAAGCAGGTCCTTCCTAAGTCATG